ATGTATTAAAGTATGTGTAAAAATGTAGAATGTTAATAAAAATATTTTATCTATTAGCAATTGTCTCATTTTTTTTAACATCATTTCTATAATGAAAATATATGAAGATAAAACACAGTCACCCAAATACACTGTTTTATGCTTTATTCATCAGCACCATAGATGTTTGTATGTTTTTAAACTATAAATGTCATATTTTTCATAGAGTGAGAATTTTAAAGAACAATTCAGTCCTTTTGTTTAAGAATGAATGTTTTACTAGTGTCAGAAGCTTAAAAATACCAATACAAATTATACATAATAAGAGTTAGGTACATAACTATAGTATTGTGTTTTCTTTAAAATATTTTTCAACTTCAAAGTAATTTCATATAATAACTCAAATGCAAGAATAGTTTTTTAGATTCCAAAAATGCCTAAAGATTAAGTACCTCATATGAGAAACATTACAAGTATCCATTTTTTTTGTTTAAACTGTCTTCCAAAATAGAGTCCAAATCTATTATTTTTTCCAGTGATTAAAATGTAAGGTTAGCGTTGGTTAGGTAAGTGGATTAAAGCATCCAATCACCTTAAAAAATAAACCTCAAGAATATAAAATGGAAAAGAATATCAGATCAGGAATCTCAGATAGACAGGAATCTTGTTTAGGTTAAAAAAAAAAAAAAAAGAAACATTGCTCCACTGGGTGAACACTAAATTGTATTTGGGAGTTTGAATTTTGATGTATTTGTGCTGTCACTAATACCTGACCTAGGATTTTGTTTAGCTCAAGAAAATGGAAAACAGTTCAAAACTTTGTGTTTTCCCAATTGAGCTTACTTTATTCAAGGAATACCAAACTTGCTAAATCCAAGCATTGTGCTGCCCGTAGATCACACAGATTCAGGGTTAATAATTGCTTTGTGCCTTGTCATCTGACCTGACACATTCCTCACCGGAAGATCATGTGTTGTGGTAGGAGAACTTCAAAGAGTCTGATAGGCACCTAAGTAACCACTGACTATAAGTAAAGAGTTCAAGATTTCTTACTACTTGTTAGAGGGGTATGACGCTCTTTGAAGAAGTAGATTTAGATGCAATTGAAACCTAAAGCTTTAAATTATTGTCCAAGCCCCATTAATCTCTGAACTGGTAAGGGGCACTAAATGTTCAGCCATAACATTTCTTCAAAGATGGAACAGTTTCATAGTGACTGGAATGCCGTCCATAATCATTGGAAGGCTTTTAGCTCCTGCCCGTGCAAAACCCACTTGGGTGGGTTGTGTGTTCTTAAATAGAGATATGTTGTTAAAAAATTATATACTATATAATATATATAGAAGAAATGTGATTTCTATATTAGATATATATAATTTTCTTCTATACACACACACACGGAGATTGTAATAGAAAATCCCAAGTGGAGGTTGCAACCATATCTCTCTTTTACCTCTAGGAATCTCCAGTCAGAGTTTCATACATGTTCCTCAGCTTCTGATATTGCTCTTACCCCACCTGCCATCTGCCAACTCTTTTAAGTTCTCCTGGCCTGAATATAATTTGTTCCATCAATCCAAGGTTAGACAAAAAGAAGATAGGAAATAAAAGGGAAACAAAAGCTTAGAAATTAATTCATAAAACAAATTTGACTGCGAACCAAAGTGTCTCAGGTTCCATTCCCAGTCAGGGTACATGCCTGGGTTGCAGGCCATGTCCCCCAGCAACCTCACATTAATGTTTCTCTCTCTCTCTCTCTCTTTCTCCCTCCCTTCCCTCTCTAAAAATAAATAAGTAAAAATCTTAAAAAAAACAAATTTGTTCTGAGATGACAATAACAATTTTACTAACAAAATTTTTCTGTTTACCTCAGTATGTTACAACCATATTACCTTTTAACATACAGCCTAGTCTATCCATTCCTTTTGCCAAAGAAATAGTTTTTCTGCATATTCAAAAGCATGTCCTTCATGTTGAACCCATTGCTAAAGTTTGGGTTTGGGGTTTTGTTTGTATGTTTGTTTGATTAATAGTCTGAAGGATCCTTCTCACACTGGGTTCATTAGCAGACAGCCATAATTGAGTTCAAGTTTGGCTGAGCAGGAAAATCTTAATCTGGCTGTGGCTGCTAATTCCTTCTGTGCTTCCTAAAGGATCTGTTTACCCTCTTCTGGCTTCCCAGAAAACCCATACAATCTGAAATGGAACTCTGACAAGAGTCAGGAGACACTTGCATTAACTCTCCTGGGAAGTCAGAATTGAGACAGGTTAGATGAGGTTGAGCCCTGGAATTTTAAGGTCAATAAACCTGAGAGTGAATGTCAGGTATGAGCTGAGAAGGACAATCTTGATAGTGAATGAAGCAATCACCCAGCAAGCAGTAAAGAAAGGTACTATACTAAGTAACAAAGATGTCTGAAATCTTGCATGAGGCTGAGCTGTACTTCATTCTATTTTCTTTGTATCTGTGGGATTCCCCTATATGCTCCTGTTTCTTTCACTCTATTTCTTTCACAAACCAGTTTGAGTGTGTTACTCTCCCAAGACTTCAAATGTCACTAAATTGTAGTTTAATCCCATTTGTAATATTTAAAGTCTCAGAATTCCAGGTTCCTGAAGTAATTCGGGAATCTTGAATTACATGATGGTAACATAATAAAATAAAGAAGATTGATCTCCAATCACCTTCCATTCTATATTGTTAGTGTATGGAAGTTGTCTAGAGTGTACCAAAAATATTTATCACAGTATTATTTTTTATCCAACATTAGTGGAAAAATTGCCTTGTATATCTATAAAATGGAATGATTTCAATGGCTGCAAAATATAGGAAGTTTCTAGTAGGAATATTGTCATGCTATGTTAGAAAAAAATCAATTTGCATATAAAATATGATAGGAACCACATAAAAATGTATAGAAAAATATGTAAATAGTACTAGTTACCTTTGGCTAATAGGATTGTGAATACATTTTTTTCTGCTTTTTGAAACTTGATGAACTTTACAAATTATCCCGTCCTAAAAAAAAAGGAGGAAATAAATTCACCTCCCAAATGCACACTTAATCCCAGGTAAATCAGATTCATACTCCATTAGAATTGAACATTTTTTAAAACCCAGTTGAGCTGTGTGGTGGAGGAATGTTTTTCAAATATTTCCTCCTATTTTGAAGATGTACTTGTGGCCTTTAAGCTGAGTGTGGTGGTTGAAAGCTGTAAACTTTAGCAACATCTTTAATATCAGCAAACCAGGTAATAGCTCTTAATACATTGCTTAGCACATATAGTAAGCACTCAATTTATGTTGAGTTGTTGAAGGTATAAGTGTAGTGCATCACTTTTTATGAATGATAAAGATATATGGTTATGTGAACCTAGTGCAGGACTTTGCTAACTTGAATGTTCAAGACATATGAGTATCCTAGGGATCTTGTTAAAATACAGGTTCTAATTGAGCAGGTCTGGCTGGAATGGGGCCTGAGATTCTGCTTTTCTTCACTTTCCTAGGCAATGACAATGCTGTTTTGGGGATACTTTTAGTTGCAAAGACTAAATCGTATTTATCCAAGTAAAAATATGTGTAGTGATTACCCCAAAATGGAAATCTAGCTTGAGGAATACTGTAGTAACTATGGTGAATAATGTTAAGGAACAGCACTACAAAATGGGAAAATAGTTTTAATGTTGTATCTTCAATCTTTAGTTTTTAGGTAAAGCTACCAGATATATTTGAGTATAACCATGCTATATTTCATAACTTAAAACCGTTTTTCAAAGACTTAACTACTTGGAATGGCAGAGCCCATAACTATGTAGCTCAGTTTATATTAAGTTGTAGTGATGGTATTTGGGGCAGAAGCCAGAACATTAAAATTGATTTTTAAATAAGTATAGTTATGTGCAGATGCATAACATGAGAAAAATGGTGTCAGTTTTGAGTAAAAGTTGAACATTTTTAGGGGTTTTTTTCTTAAATCATAATTGAATTTTTCTGGGCATATCATTAGATTGGGCAATACTAAAGTTGACTGCTTTCTAATAGAAGTCTAAGAAACCTACTGGAAAATTCCAAGTGGAATCCTATTAAAACATGCCTGAATGAGACTTAAAACTTAGCCTTTGTACAAAGGAAATCTTGCTATTGTATCCAGTAAAAATCCCTCCCGCACCTTCTATACCTCTTTATTTAATCCTTATCAAATAATTCCATTGAAGTCTCACCCTACAAAAATTTCTGTTAACTTAGACTTCATCATTTTAGGGACACTGTTTTGGAATTACAATCATCATTTTGTCACTACATTGCAACAAAAAAGATTTAATTTAAGATTATAATTGTTGCCCAAACCTGTTTTATTGCTCTAGTGATTTTTTCCAGTATTAATATTACTCTTAGCAATAAATGTCAATTAAATTTTAAGCCTAAGGAAATGGTGTGAATCTGGGACAATTTACCATGTTTTTACATCATTGTTGTTCCCTCTCTTATTTTTAGTTTTCAGAATAAATTAGATCTATAAAAGGTTTAAAGGGCTTTTATATATTGGAGAATCACAAAGTTTAGGTAGGTAGAGGAGAGTTTAATCTATGGAATGCCAAAGCAATTGTTCAATTTAATAGACTAGTCAAACTGTTGGATGTTGTATAGATGTTGTATAAAACCAAGAGAGATTGTCTGACTTTTATCTTGCAGTCATTAGGGTTGTGTTTAACTTCTATTTGGCCTGAACCTGGAAGTGCTATTTGTTGTTGTTTTTTCCCTGCTAACTAGATATTAAATTTCATCAAAAGTTTAATCTTGCCCTGGCTGGTGTAGCTCAGTGGATTGAGCGCAGGCTGTGAACCAATGGGTCGCCAGTTCTATTCCCAGTCAGGGCACATGCTTGGGTTGTGGGCCAGGTCCCCAGTATGGGGCACATGAGAGACAACCCCACATCGATATTTCTCTCCTTCTGTAAAAATTAATAAATAAATCTTTAAAAAAAGTTTAATCTTGTTCTTTTCTTTCATTGACTTCTTAGGCTATGTTTCTCAGAATGAGATCTTTGGTGACTGATCATGAAATGAAAGGCTTCTGTACTTGAAACGTGGAGTCTTTACTACAATTATAGCTGACTCTTCAACAACACATGCATCGGTTAGGGGCACCAACACTCCCTCCTTCCCCCTCCTCACTCTACACAGTAAAAAATCATGTATAATTTTTGACTCTCCCAAAACTTAACTACTAATAGCCTACTGTTGACCAGAAGCCTTACCAATAATATAAATAGTTGATTAACATAATTATATGTATTATATACTGTATTCTTACAATAAAGTAAGCTAGAGAAAATATTTTAAGAAAATTATGTTTCATTTGCTAGTTTTTTAAAATTGTCACAAATCTCAAAAACATTTTACAATATATGGATTGAAGAAAATCTGTGTGTAACTGGACCCAAGGAGTTCAGACCAGTGTTGTTCCAAGGTCAAGTGTATGTCATTTTGAACAAAGTATTAAAACTTGCAAATCATGACAAATGAAAAAGGTAAAAGCTTCCTTCATTTCCCATTACAGATACAAGGTATAGTTGAATGGTTGGGCACCTCATATAAGTTACTCTCACTTAGCAAGGCGTAGACTTTATTCTCAAGGAGACACAGTTACCTTCATTCAATTTTCATGGTCAAGGCCAGCCAGGTGCCCTACAAATGCACATGATTTTTCACAATGGGGACTTGAGTGTGTATGTATAGAGCTATATGAGCTACTTGGAGAAACCCACTGACCTCACCAATGTACAAATTGTTCTTGAGGTAAACCAGAGGGCATTTATAAAATACTCTGGTCTCAAGAAAAATACAAGTGTTTCTTTCCACACAAAGGTACTAATACTAAAATGACTGAAAGAAAATAGATGAAAATTAAACTGAGAACATGGAATTAAAAAGTTAAAGTATCCATTTATTTTGAGAGTTGTAATAGTACTAAAGTGAGCTAAATAATATTACTCTAAAATTATTGATGTACATGGGATAATGTAATGTACTGCCTTATTACTGTAGGTACTGACATTTCCCATATATGACAATACCTGAAATTTAGTTGTAACACGGTTGTTCACAGCATCCAATGAAATTGCTCTCTCCATGTGTGTGTCACTGTGATCGTTGTGGTTTCATCCACACACAGTGCTAGGCTCCACGGTCAGACCAACGAGTCCACATTCCTAGAGGGTGGAATGCAGGCATAGGCCTGGGCTTTGTGAGGGATTCTCCACTTAAAAAAAATGTATCATACAAAAAGCTTATGGATCGGGAATTTGAAATTTGAAATAATGAAACAAACTGGTCCTTCACCACAGATGGTTTGAGAAATGCAGCTCTTGGACAGTATTTCTTTTGAATGAACAAATGGATGAGTGAATGAATGAATGAAAATGTACCTGTGATTAGTTAAAAAAAGTCCTCATATTAAATCCCCAGTAGGAGGCATGGAAGAGGCAACCACGCATCAATGTTTCTCTCCCTCTCTTCCCTCATTTTCCCTCTGTTAATAAATAAATAAAATAAATTATTCAATATGACCATATGGTACCTGCCTATTAACCAGACAATATTATTAACCAAATAATCCTACTTTCCACTCATGGCTGCAAAAGTTTATTAAGTGCTTATATGGTGAGGTTTTCTCCAAAATTACTTATCAGAAAAGAAGGTACTTTATATGTGGGTTTTCTCTCTCTTAATCACATAGCTTTGACAGCAAAGAACTGCCTTAAGAAAACATTAGCATGGAAATTACCTCACTCAGTGTTAGTTTTAACTGGTTGTGGAGATCACCTGAGAGATTCCCTAGAAAAGGCAGCAAAAAATTTAATATGAATGTAATCACTTGTTCTTTTTTAAAAAAAGATTTTATTTATTTATGTTTAGAGAGAAGGAAAGGAGGGAGAGAGAGAGGGAGAGAAACATCAATCAGTTGCCTCTTGTCTACTCCCAACGGGGGACCTGGCCCACAACACTAGTCGGGGCAATCACTTACTCTTCACAATCACCAAGGTAGATACCAGTTTTAAAGGTCACCTTATAAAAACGATACCAATGTAATCATGTTGTCTAAATATCAAGAGTGAATACCTGTAAAATGCAATAGATGAATTGTTATGCAAATGAATAGTTCCCAGAGTCATTTGTTACAGACTGAATTGTGTCCCCCTGTCCAGCCTCAATCCATATGTTGAAGCCGTTACCCCCACGTGACTGTGTTTGGAGGTGGAGCCTTTAAAGAGATTGAGGTTAATTAAGGTTAAATGAGATCATAAGGGTGAGGGTCTAATCCAATATGATTACTGTTCTTGTAAGAAAAGAAAGAGATGACAGGGATGCACACACCCAGAGAAAATGACCACAGCAGGGCCCAGCAAGAAGGTGACCATCCACAAGCCAGAGAGCAGCCTCAGGGAAAACCAAACCTGCCAGCACCTTGATCTTAGACTTCCAGCCTGTAGAACTTCGAGAAAATAAATTTCTTTTGTTTAAGCCACCCGGTCTATGGTGCTTTGCTATGGCAGCTCAAGCAGACTAATACAGTGTCTTATATGCTGGTTCAAATTGTGGAATTTCCCAAATGAGGTAGATGGAAGTTCAGATGATGTACTTTGGAAACCTGCTGGGTGATTCAGAGTGGCCCTGGTCAGGAGGAAGAAGCCCGTGGCAGAGATGTCTGTGAAGAGTTTGACTGAAATTGTTTCATAAGATAAGCATTAAAAGGTAATGTTTTAAAAACAATTTTTAATATTAAATGTTAATAATTAACTATTCTGTATACTTTTATTTACTTGCATGTCAAAAAACTATCCTTTGAGGAGCTTTTATTGGGGGAAATGGGAAATTACCTTGCAATTAGGATTTGTCCAAATACTTTTTTTTATGTGAGAATTAAGTACATAGCCCTCTCTGCATACGAAAAAATGCCATAATATTATTATTATAAATAATTAGTCAAGTTGGAATGAAAATCACACTATTATGTATAGCATTCACTTTATTAAAGTGAGTTTCAAACAAATGCTGTTTGTATAAGTTTAGTGAAGGTTGATCCTTTAGGTGTGTAGTATAAGTAACTATTTGTTTAAAATGATACAGCACCCCATGCCCTCTCTCCCATGCCCTGACATCAGTGGCCATTGTTTTCTGGTTCATAGAAAATGCTGGCATTTGCTGAGTATAAATGCAGATGTCCAGTGATGTCCTCTCATTTCTTTTGCTTTTTGTTTTTCTTTTTCTCTTCAGAAACCATGTGAGTATTTCTCGTCTTAATAAGTTAACAGGTAGTCCCAAATTATGCATTTTCTTGAAATATTTATGCAGAAAAAAGAACAATCTGTTCCCAGGTTCCTCAGTAAAGATATCTCATTACTGAGGAAGAACTTCACTTTGAACTAAGACTCGCTCCAAGGCAGAGATACATGAGGCAGTAATTATAAAACAGGGAACACTTAAACACAAGTTTTCTAGGCTAGTTCTCTCTATGACAAAACTGACAGAATGCATACATATGTCCTTTTCTTCAAACTATCCTTGCCAGGGAAATTCCTACCAAAATCAGAAGCAATTGCACCCATCTAAAGAGCTTTTCTTGTGAAGTGGTGAAACCTCATGACCTCAAATATAAATATAAATAGGAATATTATTATTGCTTTGTATTAAAATAAAAAGTCAATACATCAAAATAGGTAATAGGCTATAAACTGAAGCATGAATTTTGGTAAAAGTGGGGATTTTTAGGTGCCCATATGTTTCAGACAAATAAACTAAGGTGTATCCCAATTCCACCTAGTGCAAAGAATGTAATGCTCACATAAAAGAAATTATTCATGTGAATAATCATCTAGGGCCTAAAAGAGGTTGAACTACAGTGTGCCCACAACACTGGTGTATTTTGCGGGAGATTCAGGAACAACTACCATCAGTTGCTATGGGTATTGTATTCCTGCAGCACCCAGTGTCATGCTGTGTGCACTATAGATGTTAGTAAGTGCGATTAAACCAGGAAGTGTCTTGTCAAGATAGTTTTGGAAAGCTGGACCAGGGCGGATGCTGAGAATTTTTTTTCATAACCTTACTTTTTGTCACACAGATATTTCTGTAGTGCACACACAAGAATGTGAAGTATACAGACTTACAGGCATCTATGAGAAGATTGACCAGTATATTAAATTGAATAAAATGTACGCCGCTGGAAAAATGATCCTGGAGTACTTATCAATGGCATGGGTGTCGATCCTCAGGCTCACGTAGCTGCCCCTCCGACCCTTCCCCTGCGGGGAGCTCCTCTCAGAGCCCAGCGTGAGCTGCACCATCATCCTGTCTGTCTTCTCGCCATTGCCCAGGTCATTCACTTCTACGTCGCCGTAGCTGCCTTCCAGCATGACGGTGCGCGGCTGGGGCAGTCCACAGGTGCAGGGAAACTGCAAACACGGCAAACACATGTTGGGATGCAGGCTCAGCTCATCTCTCAGAAGCCCATCAGTCACTGCATGGTGGAGGGGGCGGCCTTTCTCTAGTTTCTTTTATTCCCAGTCGGGGTAGGGATGGGAAAATAATGGTGATGGCACTGTAAACATTCTAATAGACCAGGTCTTGTTTATTGCTGAACTAACGTCTACAAATCAACTCTTAGGAAACTTCACGTCAAACCAGAGACCAAGAAGAACGTTCTTGATGAGAGTATCACCCTGTTCTACACAAGGTCACTAACTGATAGCAGCCCTGATAAAAATATTTACAGATAAGATATTGGGAGACAAAGAGGGTGAGGGAGGAGGAATTTGAAAGGCACGGCATTGTGGCAATAGTTTGCTACCATATGGTTAGAGTTTTCTACAGGCAGGAGGAAGAAAGGCAAATTAGGTAGAAGGGAAAATAATCTCAAAAATGATGGGAGATGTTTGAGATCACATGTGATGGAAAATTTCCTAGAATGTAGTATGTGTTTCCCTGGAAGCTGCTTTTATTATTACACTTCCATGTTCATAAGTAATTTATTTGTTCTACCATGTGGAATTGTCATTCATTTTTATCACTATGGACAACACCAATACTATAGGGACCAATGTCTTAGTTAACCTAGCTTAGCAGCTCCTGGTATATGGCAAATGCTAAGTAAATGTTTGAATGAATGAGAGATGTGGCCCATAGTAAATATCATGCTGCCTCAGCATATTGTTTTGTTTGCTCTTCACCCCATGAAGTAGGTGGAGGAAGGTGTGTCACTACTGCATTTTACAGAGGACGGCTGACCTGCCCAAGGTCCAGAGCTAGATCAGGCTACATCCCCAAGTGGACACTTTAGGTCATAGTAAAGTCACCTTCTCCCGCAGCTTCCGTTCCTTCCACTCCTGCACCGTGGTCAGGTAGTTTACAGCTGCGTACTCCAGCACCGAGAGGAACACGAACACAAAGCTGACCCAGAGGTAGATGTCCACGGCCTTGATGTAGGAGACGCGGGGCATGGAGGCGTTCACGCCCGTGATGATGGTGGACATGGTCAGCACCGTGGTGATACCTGCAAAGAGAGGGAGATAAGCACATGTTGCCTTTCACCAAGCACACCAGAAGGCTCCATGCCTCTCCTCTTTTGCCCTCCTGCTCCTTCAGCCTACAGTGTCTCTATCCCTGCCCCTCTGTTTAGCAAACACCTACTCTTCTTTCAAGACTTAGCTTTTATGAGGCCTCTCCTGTTCTCCACCCCTCAAAATCAGCCTTTCCCCCTTTGTATACCTGCGTGTATACATCATCGCACACGTATCACCTTCTCCTTTTGCTGAGAGCCCCAGACATTTTGGTAGCAAGACATTTATTTCCATTCAGTTGTTAAAACAAAGATTACATATATGAGCAGGTATATATGTTTCTTGTAACTATTTCTCTAAAAAAGGAAAAAAGTACACAAGGTTTACTGTATTATTTGTGTCCTTGTTGCTGTCATCTAGTCACGTGGTCCCAGGCCTGTATCATCCTCCAGCTGTCAGCCTCCAACTGTCAGCCTCCCTCTGGCAGCCCCCTTCCCCCCGCCCCCTGAGCTAGACCTGCCTGCCAATTCAGCAATGTCCGTTTTACCAAGGATGATGATGGTAACCTCATTGATCAGACACAGGTGTTTAAAATTAGAATGTGTGTGTGTATTTTTACTTATTTATTTATTTATTTATTTATTTATTTATTTATTTATTGGCATAATAACTGTTTAAGCCACAGAACAACTGTTAACAGACAGGTCATCTGTCAGTGGAAATTTGCCCAGAATCTCAAATTAAGCTCAGAACATTTGCTTGGCAAACAGCAAATCACAGAGGATTGGGGTCATCTTCAGGGCCAGCTCCAATCCAGTTTAACTAAAACCTGGCAGGTCACCCTCTCCCTGGTAGCATGTGATTGGGTGGGTGCAATATTCAAAATGGGGAAGAGAATTGCTGGCAAACAGCTATGGATAGATCATTCATCTAGTAGGTCCTCAGACTTGAGTACACATAAGAATTAATGGGAGAGCTTGTTAAACATCATGCAGGTTCATGGTCCTCTCTCAGGATCCTGAACGTATACGTACATGATACGCAGGATTCTTCTTTTTAAAAACGTCCACTGGAAATTCTGTCACAGAGATTCCTTTTGTGATTTTTGAGAAACCCTGTTATGTACAGTGAATTCCTTATGCAGGTGGACAGAGAGAGCATCCACGGAGCAGGATCACCCACCCCAAGCGAGGCTCCAACAGACTAAAGATGGGATGTTTGTGTGGGCATCTGGGAGGACTGGAAACAGTTTTTCTACCTAGATTTTAATAATGGCACTTTACCTGTGAATAAATAACTTGAAGTGGTTCAAGTTATAATGCCAATAGGAATTTAGGGCCAATTTGAAATGAAGGGTTTTATATGGAAGAGTACTTGTATTTTCAGATGCCTGCAGTGTGCACTTGAAATATACTTTACCTAAGGGGACTCGGGCAGGCACAGCTCTGCGGTCAATCCAGAAGGACACCCAGGACAGCATGACCATCAGGGTGGCGGGGAAATAAGTTTGGAGCAAGAAGAAGAAGATGTGGCGACGCAACGTGAAGTTAATGTACAGACGGTTGTACCAGCCTGGGGGACACAAGGAAGAGAAGACAGCGCACACTGTGGCTATTTAGCTCCTTCATAGAACAAAGTTTATTCAGGGAATCATAAATGCTTCAGACACTTCACTGGAACTTTAACATACCTTTACAAAGTGGAGGTGAGAAAAACCATGGAACAGAGGGACTGTGTGATACCCACACCCCCTGGATGAATTCATCTCAAGAAACCACTGACGCCTGTTCTGTACATAAAGGTAACCAAGAAGGCCATTTAAGACTCCTGTTACTCACATGATGGGACAGGGCCAAACAGCATCACCACCACCTAGGAGCTTAGAGCCGTGGGCTCTTGGTCGCCCTGAGTCTACTAGACCAGAATCTCCTTTTAGCAATACTCCCCACATGATTTACATGCACATTAAAGTTTGAGAGGCACAGATTTAAACAACCTCCTTTGGATTTCTTTGTGGAAGAAAATGTATTTTCAGTTAAAATATCAAGCTAAACACAAGATTGCATTTAGGAACACAGTGAGCAATCATGGTTCAGCCATGCTTCAGTTTGGCTTTTTCGTTCTTTCCAATACAGGGGAAATACAGGCTGGGAGGAATGGGAAGGAATGGGAGAACAATGAAAGGAAAAGGAAAGGGCAGGATAAACTTGAGATAACAAGGTCTGAAAATCAAATGGGGACTTGGCAACATTAATTTGAAAACTTGGCATCCTGGGCAATTATAATGCAATGTTTATAATTATAACAGTTCCTGAAAGTGATTGTGTGGTGCTATAGACTGAATGTTTTGTGTCCCTCCACCCCAAAAACTCATATGTTGAATCCTAAAGCCTGATGTAATGGTATGGGGTGGGGCCTTTGAGATGTGATTAGGTCATGAAGGTGGAGCCTTCATGCCTGGGATTAGTGCCCTGATAAAAGAGACCACAGTCAGCTCCCTCAGCCTTTCCATCCCGTGAGGACACAATGAGAAGGTGGCTGCCTGTGAGCTAGGAAGGGAAGTGGGCTCCTGTCAGACACTGAATCTGCTAGCACTTTGATTTTGGACTCCCTAGGTTCCAGAGTTATGGGAAATAATTTCTGTTGTTTAGAAGCTACTCAGCCTATGATATTTGTTATAGCAGCCCAAATAACTGAGACAAGAGGAAATGTCAGAATGCTAAAGATCAAAGGAATGGAGTCCCCTGAAGAACCGCGATTCACGGGAAATATATACAGAAGATAAGATGTGCTAGATTGCCATAATGTGCTGGAAGTAAAATGTTGCCCTATATTTAGAGCAGAAGACTTGCACTTCCCTGCATAGTCAATCACGCAATGTTTTTGCAATAGAAGCTGCATAAAGGTTTGAGCAAAATCATCCGGAAAGGTGATTAGTCAAGAAAGAGGCAGGGGTTGGCGAGAGTGAACCTCAGATACCAGAGGGGAGACCACAGAGCATACCCTCAGGCAACAGCAGATAGCAAGCCCATCCAGAACCTTGGTTCAAAAGACATTGCCCACAGGAAAATGACCAATAGTTCTTGCACTGCAGCTCACAAGAAGGTCACAAGGAGGACATGTGCAAGCAGTGTAGTAAGAGAGGATTGCTTAAAACTGGCTCAGAGGGCCTGGATGAAGCAGAGAGAATGTGGATGGAAAATGACAGGACAGAAATTGGATGGTTTCTTGCCTCAGAAGACGGGGTCTGGTAATCATATCAGTGAGGACATGCCCGATGCTAAACTGGCAAAGTGATTGTCTCAGATCAACCTCCTCACATGGCTTATGTTTCAGTCCTTACTGATATTTCCAGATGATCACTTCTGGTGCTTTGATGGCATCAAAAATCACTTCCACCCAATGCTTACCACCCTCTAGATCCGATTTAGGATTCTCATCTTTGTTGTCTAACTCAAAGGCTCTGCTCACTTGACAAGCAGTTCACACCTCTCCTAAAATACAGGCTGACCCATCCCAGGCAGGCTACCACTTGCCTAGCCCTCAGCCCACCCGATGCCCACCTGTGCTGCTGTAGAAGGCCAGTTTAGTGGTGGTGTGGAATTCCTGAATAAGGAACTGGGAGAGTGAGATCCGCTCATCTGTCTTTAAGGAGTCATTGCCTTTTTTCCAGTACAGCATCAGGTCATCTTCTGTATAGGCATCTGAAAAGATGGGAGATAGCAGGAGGCACACGGTAGTGGGAAGACAGGCCTGTGTGTGTGGTTCTGTGGATGTTACACCCCCCTCCTTGATCCCCCACACAAACTGTTAGGATTGTAATACCATTGTCTGAATAAACAAACTAAAGTCTAAATTAAGCAAAACAAAATCCAAAAAGACAAAATCCAATTCTCCGGTCTTTCAGAAGTCATCAGAGCAAAGCTCTCACATCTAAATGTTCATAATTCCTGCAAAAGGGCTCACCCTGCAATCCTGCCTGCCCTTTATTCAGTGAAACCAAATGAAATTGCTATTTTTTAGATTAAAAGAATGGTTAAATAATGGCAAAATTGCATATTGTTTTCAGCGTTCTAAATCAGGGTGATATAGCCCTGTCCTTTCAAAGTGTAGCGATGCATCATTGATGGCACATCACTTCATCACTCTCAGGTAATAAGGGTTGCATTCTAAGAAGAGAGGGCCCACAAAGAGACAGGAGCAAAACATGTCCCTTTTCTGTAGGCCTCCAGTCGCTCCTGCCCAGGGTAACATCAAAGAGATCACCCCATGAAGATCGCTCCCTGAGGCACTACCATTCCTCACCTCCTGCCCACTTGAGGTGAGCACACTGCTTGCTCCAGCTGAGCAAACCTACCTGCAGCCTGGGCAGAACAGAAACAAAACCAAACAGAGATGCCAGTCCAGTCTGCTCATGTGTAAACAGTTCTTTCCAGCACCCACTGAGGCTCTATTTTATTCTTCTCTTTTATTCTATTTTTAACCCTCAACCTGTGTGATGGTCTGTTTTGGTGTCCACTTGGGCTAGGCTCTAGTACCCAGTTACTCAACCAGTTCACTTCAAGTAAAGGAGATGATCCAGGATAATCTGGGCGGGCCTGTTACAATCAATTGAGAAGACTTAAGAGCAGACCTAGGTTCCCCAAAGAAAAAGAAATTCCACCTATGGACGGCAAGATCAGATCCTGCCAGAGCGCCCAGCCTTCCCATTCCTTACTGGCAGGACGTCAGCCCTACCGCATCAGCCCCCAGGCTCCCATATACCAATTCCTTGCTGTAAATCTCTAACTATGTATATCTTGTAGTTCTGCTTCTCTGGTGGAACCTGACTGATACAACCTGGAGGAAGCTACATTCCTGATGGGGATGCTTGGGTATGCTGGGGAAAATAAGCTTCTGGAGTTAGTCCTTCTTCACACTGTGTCCTCAAGGAAGATATATCCCTCCCTGTTACAATGGAGAGAACACCAAGCTCCCAGGGATCACGCGAGGCTTAAATGACAGAACAGGCCTACAGCCACTGTGCAGTAGGTAGTCACTCCCTTGGTTTGGAGTTTCATCTCCCCACATTAAGTGCCCTGCAGAGCTGTCCATTTGGCCCTTGCATTCCTTGTTAGGTGACTGGAACCAGGGAACACCTAATCCACTGCCACAAGCCCAGGGAGGGTTACGAAGGTGCATTGGGGCAACGAGGTTTCTCATTAGGACGTTGACAGCTGGGAAGTGCAAGTGTCACATGCTGGTTCAGGAGCCAGAAGCCTTGTACGTGGGGGAGTTACGGAATCCAGACCACGCTCATCAGAGGAAGCAGCTGGGCTGGGATCCATGAATGGAACAGGTACATAGAGAACTAGAGATGTGAGTGGCTATAACTCGCTGCTCGCTGCCTCTACCCTGATCTTCCTGGGGCCTGGTATTTTACTTTTCTAGGAAATCCTTTCTTCAACAAAATCTTATTCATAACAGCAACAAAACAAATCAGAAAAGAACTCTGGCTGGAAGGTGCGTATGAGTGTTGAGCTGGGGACTTGGCAGGAGACCCGAATTTGCTGAGCCCTCTCCATCCCTCCATAAGCAGTGACACTGGGAGACTCCCCCAAACCTCTAGTTTCCACAGGAAAAATATTAAAACCATTGCCATAGTCATTAAAAGGGTCGATTATGGGCATAGAAAGTTTTAGTCCTATATCTGTTTCTGATTTTAAAAAATTGCCCTAGATTTGGTTTCAATCTAAAAAGTCACTTTAAAAGCATAGTGATGAATGAGGATCACACACTGTTCTAGCTGCTGAAAGTCAGAGGTGCTCAGAATCACTTAGGAGCTGGGTGCTAATGTCTGGCCCAAGACTACTCACAGCTTTCAATTTCCAGTGAGCACGTTTGTGTGTCCAGGGGAAATCGGCTAAAATCCATATTGCACATTGCAGTCACTGTAACCCTAGAAACAGGAAGACAAGGACCGGGTTTTCAGAGGATGCAAAACACAAGTGCAGAATGCTAAAACAAACAGAAATGGCCTCTATTTCCTTCCAGTATAACTGCCTCCTTCTCATGGCCCATAAGCAATGTGTCAGAATTTAGATGAGTCATTTGTGAGTGACACCCTCTTTGGAGTTCTCTTCAGCTTTTAAGTTTAACCCCAGGGTCAGTGTGAGGCAAACAGAATGCCTCTGCTAACTCCTATCATATTCAAGCATTTTAAAGAATCGATGGATGGCTCAATCAATATAGCAATGTGAACCTGGCTGGCGTAGCTCAGTGGATTGAGCACGGGCTGCAAACCAAAGTGTTGCAGGTTCGATTCCCAGTCAGGGCACATGCCTGAGTTGCAGGCCATGACCCCCAGCAACTGCACATTGATGTTTCTCTCTCTCTCTCTCTCTCTAAAAATAAATAAATAAAATCTTAAAAAAATATAGCAATGTGAAATAAAACTCATATGATATTGTTTCTTGAAAGAAACCATAACACCATAATTTTACAGGCATACCTCATTTTATTGTGCTTCATTTGATTGTGCTTCACAGATATGAGTTTTTACACATTGCAGGCAAGACCTTCCACCAGCAAAAACAGCATGACTCACTTTACTGCAGTGGTCTAGAACTGCACATGCAGTATCTCCAAGGTGTGCCTGTATTGTTCCCTTGTTAAAGATAAGTTTAAGTTCTTCTGTTCTTTTATTGATTATATTGATAATCAATATCTGTGTACAATATTTCAGATATAATATTAATTAATGCCAGTTGCCAAATGTAGCACTTTTTTTTACAATGTTGATATTTTATATGGATAATAATAATATCCACTGGTAGACATAGATGTCTTTAGTGCATAATTCCATGGAGACCATAGTAATGGAAAAACACCAGAAGATCTTATTGTACCAACGTATAAGCATCTAATGGTTTTGTTCCAGAATTTACATGGGAAAGTAAGCTTCTGAATCAAAGAAAAAACCAATACGGATCATCAGTCACAGAAGAAGGTTCTCCCACCCAGTGGGGAATCTTGTGGTCGAACATGACCAACATGGCTGGTGTTGAAAATACTGTTTTTTTCTAAGGCTGTAGAAAATTGTCTATGTAGAAATTGTGGGAATTATATACATAACTGATGGCCAAAGAGTAAAAAAAAACACTCTTAATTCAAATGGAAATTTCAAGGAAAAGAGTTTTCTTGAAACTGAATTATCCAATTTTTTGTCTTGTTTTTCCCATTCCATTTAGTGTGGAATGTTTGTGTCCTGGGAGGGATTTTGTTTTATTAACCCATGGATAGTCCCATTTCCCCTGGAAATTCTGGTAAACGCATTGTGTTGGTGGTGAGAGGTTATCAGGCTCACCCTGTGCGCCCTGACTTGAGGCTTTTCCACTGTTAACCCACACAGGGAAGCAGCACGATCTGTGATGTGATCTAGCCCATGTCTGTTTTTGCTTACTCGAGTCCCTTTAAATTGATTCTTTGGAGGATGTTCCCTTGTCTTCAATTGAAACCTGGCAGTCCTGTGATTTTTCTGCTTACTCTCATGTAATAGAGTGTCAAAACCCTCATAAGTAATGAAACATATCTCAATTGAGAACTGAAAAGAACTTTGGTTCAAGGTGTTAACCAACATTTCAAACTTCATTCAAACTGAGACTTCCACTCCTCCTCCCAGCTGAAGTACAAAGTTGGCGTTTGAGAGGTCAGTTTCTGCTCATCTCTGATGGCCTCCTGCATGAGTGGATGTAAGGAGAGGGAAGGAGGTAGCAGCAGGACTGTTCTTCGGCTAGCTGGCTTCGCAATCTCTAGGCCTGCTCTGTGGTTGAATCTGACACTTTCTTTCCCAGGCTTTTCCTCCCACTGCTGGGCACCTTCATTCTCCACAGCAGCCACTCCCCACCCTGCTCTTGGTTCACCCACCCACACTCCATTCCACATACATGTAACTGTTCCCAACACTGGGAGTGCAGGCTGATCCCACCACAGCAAAAACTTCTCCTGGCTCTCCTCTGGGCTGGTTAGACAGCTCTTCTCTTATCCTCTGACTAACTGGGTCCCAGCTGTGGGCACACATGCACCAAGCTGTCTGAGTGGTCCCAGTACAGGTCCACTCACGGCATCCCCACAGCTCTCTCCCAAGAAAAATCTCGCAAATCTTTTCTTCCTTCTGCATCCTTGACCTTTTATGTCTTGAAGTTGACTGGGAGTTCAAAAACTGTAGAATTGGTTTTTTAACATTTCCTTAATAAAATCTACTAGCATGATGGAGCATTTCATTTGTGAATTCACCTATCATTGTATCTTGGAGCCTAGGAAACTTCAGTCATCATCCTGTTACCTGTCTCTTTCCCTTCCCCTCCACCGGCCACATGGGTCCATACCTCTACTTGCATTCTAATCATTTGGTTCCATGTCTATCTCCTCCACTAGCCTGAAATCACACTAAGGGCAATAACATATCGCTTCATTTTATGTCCCCAGGGCTTAAGACAGGGCCTGGCAGAGCTTTGATTTACATAACTCTGGGTGCCAACCTGGCACCCAGGATGCTTTTAATAAAAATTTGTTCTGTTAATTAATCAATGAATGGATGAGATGGGAGGATGGCATATTAGCATGTTCTAGGAGTTAACTAGTTGCTGACAGAGTTGACAATACCCAGGCACTCTGTGTTTTTCCTAAAATGAATCTCAAAGCAGTAGTTCTCAGTAATTTAGGTCTTCCTCCCCACTTTTAAAACCAACAAACCCATGGTTTTATTTGCAATAAACGGCAAAATCATCTGTTTTTAGGCACAAGGAGGCTCACTGACAACTTTGATTCTGACCACACAGGTTTTCCAAGCTCTTGTTTCCTCTGTTCTGCCTCTTGCGGTCATATCCAAGGTACTCGAGTTAGACATCTACCGGCTCATGAGACTAATGCCTAGATTTTTAGGAAGTTGGCAAGTTTGTTGTTAAACATTATTCAAATGAAATAAGCTACACTAAAAAATAAAGTAATAAATATTCAAAACTTACATTTTAGTATCTATACTTCTGAAGTTCCCTACATCTACTATTTTTACTGGACCATAAGACGCACCTAGATTTTAGATGAGGAAAATAGGAAAAAATTTTTTGAAGCAAAAAATGTGGTAAAATATTTAATAACATAAAAACATAAGATTTTTACAGTCAATTAATATTTGACAAAGGAAGCAGCAACATAACATGGAATAAAAATAGCCTCTTCAACAAATGGCGTTGGGAGAACTGGACAGCTACATGCAAAAAAATGAAACTCGAGCACCAACTTACACCTTACACAAAAATAAATTCAAGGGGGATAAAAGACTTAAAAATAAACTGTGACACCATTAAAGTCCTAGAAGAGAACATAGGTAGGAAAATCTCAGATATTTCACGCAGAAACTTTTTTACTGACATGTCTCCTAGAGCAAGGGGCATAAAGGAAAGAATAAACAAATGGGACCTCATCAAAATAAAAAGCTTCTGCACAGCTAAAGAAAACAGTATCAAAATTAAAAGAGAACCAACTGTATGGGAAAACATATTTGCCAATGATACCTCAAACGAGGGTTTAATCTCCAAAATATATAAAGAACTTACATGACTCCACTCTAAAAAGACAAGCAACCCAATTAAAAAATGGGCAAAGGACTTGAACAGACACTTCTCCAAGACATACAGAAGATCCAAAGACACATGACATGATGTTCAATATCACTAGCTATCAGAGAGATGCAAATTAAAACCATTTCACACCAGTCAGAATGGCCATCATAAACAAAGCAACAAACAACAAGTGTTGGAGAGGTTGTGGAGAAAAGGGGACCCTAGTGCACTCTTGGTGGGACTGCAGACTGGTACAACCACTATGGAAAGCAGTATGGAACTTCCTCAGAAAACTAAAAATGGATCTGCCTTTTGACCCTGCAATTCCACTGCTGGGACTCTATCCTAAGAACACTAACACACCAATACAAAAGAACCTTTGCACCCTGATGTTCATAGCAGCACAATTTACAATAGCTAGGTGCTGGAAGCAACCTAGATGCCCATCAGTAAATGAATGGATCAAAAAACTATGGTACATTTACACAATGGAATTCTATGCAGCAGAAAGAAAGAAGGAGCTCCTACCCTTTGCAACAGCTTGGATGCAGCTGGAAAGCATTATGCTAAGCGAAATAAGCCAGACAGTGAAAGACAAATACTATATGATCTCACCTGTAACAGGAACCTAAACAACAAAACAAAGAAACAAGCAAAATATAACCAAAGTCACTGAAATAGAGGACAGACTGACAGTGACCAGAGGGGAGAGAAGAGGGAATTTCAAGGGAGAATGGGTAGGGTTTACAGGAACAAATTTAAAGGACACATGGACAAAAACTAGGGGGAGGGTGGTAATGGGAGGGAAGTGGGGAGGGTTGGGTGGGTGGGCTGGAATGGGAGTAAAAGGGAGAAAACTGTACTTGAACAATGATTAAAATAAAAAAAATAGAAAAAAAACATAAGATTTCACCAATATAAATGTAAACAGAACTCAACAGCAGCATTAACAACCATTATTCCTCCCAAATTTGGGGAGGGGGGAACATGTGTCTTATAGTCCAAAAAATACAGTATATGGTAGAAATACTATTTAAAGGTGTACAACCCCCCATTTCTTCCCAACTCTGCATTCAGCAACATCTGGTTAGTGGCTTGAAATCAGCCATGATGGGAGGTATCTACGCTACAGAAATGGGCAAATGCTACAAACCAGGGCTTGATTTGTTGTTTTGTTGATTGTCTAGACTTAAGAAAGGGATTGTCTAAAGAAAGCAGATTAAACCTAAAAGTGTGTTATGTCTATCACCATTACATGTAAAAAATATTCTAAAATGTAACCAATAGGAATCAGAGAGCTAAAGGAGAGAAGTCTTTGAAAAGAATGCATTATCTATTTCTCTGACTCCTACTAGAGAAATACAACTTTTATTATAGTAAAGTTTTTCAATTGAAATATAACATACAGGATAGAACATAAATCATAACTATCAGCTTGAGAAATTTCCCCAAGTGTATTTTTTTCTTTCTTTTTTTTTTTGTTTTTCCAAGTATCTTTTCAAGACTGAGTAATTCATTGCTCATGTGTACAAGTTAGTTTTCCTTGGTGCTGACAAGTTGGCAGCTCATGAAAAGTTAGAAGCTAGCTATTCAAGGCCAAAAAGCAAAATAGCTGTTGTGGAACCAATGATTTTCATGGTTATGACAAATGATTTGCCTTTCTTCCCATGCTTCAGGTGTAAAAAAAAAAAAAAAAAAAAAATCTTGCAGCTAAAAGGCCCAGAGCAAGGGCTGAGAAGGACCTCACCTGAGACTGTAGAGCACTTTCCCATCAGGCTGGACCCGCAGCATGACATTGTCCGTGGTGGTGTCATGGATGAAGGAGCGCTTGGAATGCACAAAAAACATGTCGGGGACCCAGATCTTCTTCACCAGCCGACCGTCGAACGTCATGCTGAGGTTGTTGGTGCTCGGGAAGGACAGTCTTTCATCCTTCCAATAGTGCCTCAAGTAGAGGGTCATGGTGAAGTCCTGGTGTTGGAGGGCCGAGAGGGGAACCCCACACACTGAACAAATGGATGTCAGCAAGACATTCTCTAGCTCTGTGGAGCCATCAGTTGCCTGGCTGGGAATGAAACAGCTGCCAGCTCTGAAGGAAACTGAACTGACCCTCTGCCTAAGGGCTCCCAGGCCCACACACAGGGCAAGGCAGAGAGTTCATGCATCTGGAAGCAGTCCTCAAGCAGAGAGTGGGGCTGGGGGGTGAAGAGAGTGGGTAAGTGCCCCAGTTCCCTGGCCCCTCAGTTGGGGTAACCCTGAAGTGTATTCTGTGCTGACCCCCAGAGTACCCCAATGGGACAGCGTTTCACACCCCAATAGTAACCAATTTGATGGCAATGCTGTTTTTGCTTCCTTCCCTTCCCTGTCTCACCTTCCCACTCTCTTTTCTTGTTTCCTGGAATCACCTCCCAAATAAACTCCTTGTGCTAAAATGCTATCTCAAGTCTGCTTCTTGAGAAACTCAAACTAAGATAAGGCCCTCAAAACTCCTGCAAGCCAAGGAGTTCTGGACTGTTCTATTTTTATTTAAATCCAAACCCATTAAAAAGGAAAAAAAAAGAAGGGACATTTCTGCTTCTTCTGCATTTCCACAGCCAGATAGACTGCAACAGGAGGATATGCCTGGCTACTTGGCAGCTGCCACCTTGGACCCTGCTGTTTATGTTTAAGAGCCTTTAATGCCAGGAACCTGGGCCCTGGAGGAGGAAGATGGACTTAGTCATCTGGCTCTGTTCCATACCAATTTAGTGGCTTCTGGCAAGTGTCTCAACCTCCCTGGGCCATCTGTAACAAGAGTGTGGAAATGCCTACTGCCTGGGCAGTGACTCCAGGTGGGCAGAACTCTGGCCCAGCACAGGCTCCGTGTGGATCCCCTTGCCCAGAAAGAGAAGCACTTACCATATCAACCTCTGAGATGCTGTCCAAGCTCTCCACCTGCACATCCACGCCAACAGGAATGGCTGGGCCTGTGGGTAGGGCAGGACAGGAGCATTTATTTATTCTTGTAACTTAAACTTTTACTCTGAAAAATATAGGCATAAAGAACATTTCCCCTGGAACCTCAATGTCATGTCAGATTTGAAGGTCTGGTGTTCCCACACGCCGTACTCAAGTCAAACCACAGATAGAAGGATGGAATCATGGCTGGGCTTCCTGGAATATTCCAGCAAAGGTAAAAAATACATATCCATAGTCTTACTCATCCCAGGTAATTCTGAAACAATAAGGTTAATATATAGCCTTCCTGGTGGTTATACATGCTCATCTAAAGGTACTATAAAGCTCTGTGCAGTGGCAGTATCGTAGCCAATGAGGTTTATCCGAGGTGCGATTATTGCTAATTAAAGGTACTATAAAGACTGAGGTCAAAGCTGGTCAGAACCAGAACTGACTTAAGGACTTACTGCTTAGCATGAAGTTGTCCACTTTATTTTTCATATTTCCCTCCTGATTTTGCACCCTCTTATCACAGGATAAGCCAATGCCTCTGTCTGTCCAGGAAAAAGGCATTGCTGGGTAAGTAGGCACCCAGAACCAAAGCCATATTCAGATGATTTGTCAAGGCCACAGGTCTGCATCTTTGGCATGTGATGGAGTGGCCTCCAGGGAGGGGAGGGGGGAGCATTAGACACCAAGGTGGTCTTGAAACTGTTAGATTTTTAACTTTTTTTTGGCATTTCTAGGCCCTGAAAATGTAATGTTCATAAAGGGTTAAAAAAAAAACATTGTAAAGGGAGTGGACTCCTGCCTGTTTCCTCCCTCCTTCAGGTGTGTAGGGCAGGCATGGAGCACACCTGGACCTTCCACGTGGAAAGGTGAGTTTGAACCCAACAGCAGCAGATGACAGACTGATAGAGACTCACTCCTATACCTGTTTATTCTTTGGGTAAAAGTAGCTGGAAAAAACAAAAGGCATGAGGATGATTTCTAAAAATATTTTTTGCCAGGAAATACAACCCATGAGGACGAAAACCCTACCTGACACAAAGAGGGCTGAAATCCGGCAGGGCGGGCTGAGCTTCCAAAGGCTTTGGCATCTGTCTGCGCTAAGTGATTTTTTTTCTCAAGCTATTTGTTTTCATTTAATTAAGCCCAGCAGTCCACACTCCACCCTCAGATATGTACCCAGGGTTCTGCCTGCCAGCTCCCAGATGAGACCACACTTAGTCCAAGGTTGCTACTCAGAGCATTTTCAGGAGGCAGCTCTGGGCTGCAGCTGTCCTGTCCTTCCCCACTTGCCCTTCCCACCGCCAGCTGCTAGCTTCACCAATCCAGAGCCCTCCTTGCCAGAAGCAGTGGCCTGAGGACAGCTCAGCCTGGCCACCAACCAGGAGACATTTCCTGAGAGCTGTCAGCAGAGCCTGGGGAGGGCTGAGCAGAGCCTGGGGAGGGCTGGGCAGATGCCCAGAGATGCTGTGGGCTCAGCACCTTGTCCACCAAGCACAACCGAGGCAGTTCTGATTAAGGGAGGGCAAAGCTGGGTGGTCCCTCGGCTTGATTTTTGCCCACAGACAGTCTGGTGAACCCAAAGAAAGAAGACAACCCCGAAGAGTGCACGTCTCATACCTCCAAAGCCAGGTCTCATGCTGAAATCATGGTCATCTATCCGCAGAAGCTGCTCTGACTTTGTCAGTGGCGATTTGGTGATGTCAGGGCTTCGTTTCAGAATCGGGCTGCGAAGGGGAAAACAGTTTGATCACAGTCTAATGAGGCCAGATAAAAAGCTATTTGCATTCAGACTTGATCTTGACAGGTTGGATGGGATATGTTAACTTCTCTTTTAAGCTTTTAGATATTCTCTTTTCCCTTCTCCAGCTTTCTGGGTATATGAACTGGCTCAGAAGGTCCAAAACAGTGACTTAGAACCATGACCCAGGAGCTCTAGAACTTCAACGTCCAGGCCCCCCTCAAGAAACTCTGATTTGGGTTGCCTGGGAGTGAGGCCTGGACATTGGTGTTTTGGGTTTTTTTTTTAATTTATTTATTTTTAGAGAAAAGAGAGAGAGGAGAGAAACATTGATGTGTGATAGATACATCGACAGATTGCCTCTCACATACACCCAGCTGGAGACCCAGCCCACAATCCAGGCATATGCCTTGACGAGGAGTTGAACCTGCAAACATCTTGGTTTGCAGGCTAGCACTCAGTCCTCTGAGCCACACCAGCCAGGGCACGACATTGGTGTTTTTTAAAACTTTCTAGATTTTTTTAATGTGTAACCAAGAGTGAGAACTCTTGGCCTTGGTCTCCTTAACAAGTCCAAACAACCGCAAAGCTCCTGGGTCATCTGGGGAGGGTTTGAGCTGGAGGGGAGAGGCAGTGGGTGTGGGCTAAGCACCCTTGACCTCGGCTGGCCCATCCTGTGTGGGGAGGATGGACTTGCCTTCAGGTCAAATGTCAACCATCCTGGCTCTCTGAGAGGCTCTCAGAGCTTCCTGTGCCTCTGCTTCTGAATTGCACACAGGACCATTTTAATATATCTTCACTTTTTTCCAAACAGGTAATATATTTGCAAGGTTTGATAATTTTTTTAAAAAGGAAATGCAGTAAGAAGTTAGCCTCCCACCTCTGCCTCCATCTACCCCAATTCCCCCTCCACAGACACCTCTCTTATTGGTTTCTTGTTTATCTGTCCAGAGTTTCTTGTAGATACAAGTGAATATAAATATGTACTTTTAGTTCTATTTTTCCATTTTTATTGAGAAATAATTGACACATCACATTGTATTAGTTGTAGGTATATAATTGATATATATTTGGATATATCATATATTTATATATATATTTGTAACATATATATTACAAAACTACTACCACAATAAGTTCAGTTAGCACCATCACCTAACATAGTAATAATTTTTTTCCTTACGATAAGAACTTTTAAGACCTGCTCTCTTAGCAACTTCCAGATGTGTACAACACAGTGTTGTCAGCTGCAGTCACCACGCTGTGCATTACACTCCCCAGCATCTATCTGTCTTACGGCTGGGAACCTGTACTGTTGGCTCTCTTCACCCACTCCCTCCCTATCCCATCCCTTGCCTCTGGAAACCACCAATCTGTTCTGTCTGAGTTTTTTTTTAATTTTTTTAGATTCTACATATCAGTGAAATCATACAGTATTTATAATCCATGTTGTTGCAAATGGTTTCTTATTTTTATGCACAAAGTTAACATATAAACTCTTCTACTTCTTTTTTTTCTGTATTTAATTATACCTTAAATTTTTCCATATCTAAGCCTCCCAAGCCTCTTATTCTTTTTACACTGCATAGTGCTCCATTACATGGATGCACTGTTAATTCATGTGATCAGACCTCTATTGGTGGAAATCTGAGTTGCTTCCAGTCTTTTTTGCTATTATAAACAATGTCACAATAGCTTTGGTGGTCTTCATTTACCCATCAGCACCATCTGTAGAAGCCATAAGAACAATTAGCCACCTTCCCAGCTCTTCCTTATGCCAACAGCAGTGTGTATTCCCTCCAGGGCACTCCCTTGTACACCCTTCCTTTCCCCTGGAAGCAGCAGTGCCCAAACTCTGGCCTGCATCAGCATCTGCTGGAGGGCTTGCTCAAGCCTAGATTCCCAAACCTCCCCATTCCCTGGAGGTTTCTACTTGGGTAGGTCTGGGCTGAGGACCGAGAACTTGCCTCTCTAACACTTTCCCAGATGTCACTGATGCTGCAAGTCAGGAGACAGCAGTTTGAGAACCACTGACCTGATGCATTTTATCCCCAATGCACACAGCTTCTTACTTTCTAACTCAGTCTACCTTTAAGTCCTTTGCCATTTTCTTTTATGAAGAAACCCTTTGTCATTATAGAAGAAAAAGTGACTGGGAGACAGAAAAGTGGGCTCTGTCTTCACTCAGGCACTGCCTGCTCTGTGCCTTCAGGAAACTTGTTTCCCTGAGACTCAGACTTGATTACCTCAACAGACAGAAGATAAAGCTCTGGGACCCGACAAAGGGTGCGAGGAGTACATAGGGGAGTGTTTCTAGAAGTGCTTTCAAACTCTAATGCAGTACACAAATGGAAGGAACCATTGTCGTTATGGAGCTGACAAGGACGTTTTCTTCTAAAGTAAGGAAATTACTGTGCTCACAGCAAGGAAGTGGCCCGGGGAAAGAAGGGAGGAAGAAGCTGGGGACTTTGAGATGAGGAAAGCCAGTCCACATTGCCCTCTGCATCCTCTCTCCCCCAGCTGGCGTCAGGAGTTCCCTTTCATCTTCTCCATGTGGCTCCCCCTCTTTTTGTCCCCCATCCTCTGCTTCTTCCTCCTCAGTCAGGGGTGTGGACCCTGCCAAAAATCACTGCAGCTGAGGCGTGGGGAAAAGACAACTTCAGCATGGCGTGCACGCAGCCATGGCCATGCCTGCCTTGCTGTGGGCATCTTTGTGTGCTTTTCATCTTTGTCTTTGAGGATTACAATGAAAATTAAAAATAAAAGTTTGCTAGAGACACTCTAGGTACTCAAACCATCAAAGTACCCCTCACCCTCCAGGTTTGCCTTAAATCTCACCAGCATAAAATGCGAAATAAAAAAAACCTATGAAACTACAATGCATTAATTTAACTTTCTGATTGGCATTTCCCCAGTACCCACAAAAGCAGGGATTGGAGGATTAATTACTTAGAAGGCCTGATTTGAAGAGGTATGACCTAAAATATCTCCCCCATTCATTTCCCCAGGCTTGAAATTGATGCCATTCCTAACCTAAATCTACTGTGAAACTGTTAGGACAGAGAGTAGCACGTTGATTTGTAGCTGTGTCACTTGGGCACCCTTGTCCTCTGGCTTATACATTCAGCCAAATGGGCACTGGCAGGACAAGAGGGAACCCAGTGTTATTGCTCCTTCTCTCCCTGCTCCGATGCCATGTCTGTGTTGCTCTGTGATTACAAATAATCACAGTATCTTCAATAAGCTCCAATAACACTATTTCCCCTTCAAGCTTAGGAGTAGTCATGGCTTACTGCTATTCCTAGTCCTTGAAGGCATCAGCAGGCCTGGTTGATTCCCTGAACCCTGCCCACGGCTCTGCAAGTAGTCCCTTTATTCAGTTATTAGTTAGGCCCTTTGAGTGCAAGGCTCTTTCTGCCTGGACTTGACTGATGCACAGGGACACATCACAACTGATGCACAAGACTTATGTCCTCTGTAGCAAAGTGGAGCTGAGACGAATGTGGGCTCTGGTGAGAGGGATCCCAGGAGAGGAGAAAGCTGAGTCTGAAGGGAGAGCTGCTCCTGGGACTATGGGCCATTGCAATGGACGGTGAGCAGGGGCAAGATCAGGCCACAAGTCACTGAGAGCAGAGTCCTTTTTATCTTTAACACTTTGCACAGTGCTGGACCCCCAAAGACCCTCAACACATACTAGCTGAATAAAGGAAGGAATCAGCCCTTTACATGGGTGCCTGAAAACAAAGTCAGGAGGGGCAGAAAGACAGGGGTTGGAATAGAAATCAAGCTTGGTCCAGTTCTTCTTTTGGTTTTGGGCCAGCCTAAATCAGAGCTGGGCGCCAACTACAGGGAGATGTGTTGGATTCTGAGATGCCACTGCCTTTGCCTTCCTGAAGCTTAGATCCTTGCCTAGAAAGTCCTCGTAAATAGAATCCTTAAAGTCTTTTTTATATTCTTGTTTAATATTTTAAAATAACTTTTTTCTGCCTACATGCCCATGTTTTCAAAAATTTGTAAAATAGATTTAAATATAAAGGAGAGGACAAAAACCACTCAGAAATAACCCATGCCATTCTGTATATATCCTTATGAGAGAGAGAGAGAGAGAGAGAGAGAGAGAGAGAGAGAGAAAACACTGTAACTTACTTTTAAATTTTAGTTACAATGTACCACGAGATATTTTTCATGTAATTAGCATCTTTTTACCAGCTAGGGATGTGATTATTAACCTTTAAGTATGACACACAGATGATAATAGCAATAACTAACACTGCTTGAGTACTCACTATTGGTCACTTAGCATGCTAACTCACATTACATGTAGTAACTTAACTTGGGTTAGTCCTCAAAACAACCCTATGAGGCAAACCTTACCATGAGAAAACTAAGACACAGAAGGTTTAGAAAACATGTAAAAGTGACAGAGCTATAAGTCAAACCCCAAAGGACCTAGACCCAAGGGTTGGAAGCAAGGTTGGTCTTGGAAGATTTGGCTCCCATTGCCTCGGAATTCGGGTTAGATGGGGAAGGTCCAGGCTTATCTTTCCCCTCATGTAGAAGCTAGCATGGACCTTGCATAAAACTGGTACCCACTCACTTATTAAATGAGTTCATTTATTAAATTCGTTCCCAGAAAATTATGATGGAAGTATAGACATATCCCAAGTTACAATGATATAGGATGACCTTCGAGACAACTTTCTGTTGAAACTGAACAGAGGGTGTACGTTTTTTGAACACGCATTTTCATCCTGTCCTCTCAGAGAATGTAGAGTTCTGGCCTATGGTGCTTCTTCTTGATTTCCTTGGTGTAGTTCCCAGTCAGTGTGAGTGTGGACGATGTTTTCTGAAAACCTCTGTCAGGGATTACATCAAGCGGATGGGGGCTGCCGTGGGCAAGGGGCCTGCCGGAAGGATCATTCAGCCAATAGCAGAGCACCTGATCCATTCACTTCACTTTGCTGATTATTTCATCTCTGAGAAGATAGAGAACTTAATTTTGACAAGGAAGGAAGAACTAGTTGGTGAAATGATCTTGCTTTCTTTGCAAGTGTAGTGAATAGCCAAGCAGAGAAATCCTTATATGTAGTTAAAAACACTGGCTGTCACCCATAGCTCCTCTCTCACACCCTCATCCGGGGCCACAGAGGACAGGTGGGCATGTCCGATCCTGGTGTATCTGTTCATAGAGGCGCCTCTTTCTAAAGTGCATAAAAACCCTGAATAGGCCACCTGGCCGGACCACACCGGTCCGCCAATCAGTCCAGGCTGAACCTCCTCCTCTAAATCTCTCCACATACCCTGGCCTCTCCACTCCCATTCCCACTGCCTTATGTGTCATTATTGCTCACATGGAGGCAGCAGGCTTCCACGCCTCTGCTCTCATTCTTCTCTAATACAACCGATACACTTGGGGAAAAAACACTAGAAAAAAATATACAAAATATGTTAAGGTTATTTCTGGGTTTGGCGATTATGGGTGATTTTTCTGTGTTTTTAAAACTTTTTTCCATTTTTAAAGAATTTCAATAATGCTATATACATCTTTCATAGTTACAGAAAACTGAAAGTTCTTTTAAGTAGTTTTTTAAAGAAAATTTTTTTGCTCTCCAGGACTTCTCTTCGTCATTGGTGCTTACCAATAAGTCACCACTCCACCTTTGGTTTGGGAGAGGCTGAGTTCTTGATGACAACCAATAGGGTTTGTTGCTATTGTCGCTTTTATTCTTCATGAGCACCTTTGGTTCAAATCATCTCTATGGCTGTGCCGCTCCACAGATTCCACTGTTTGCTCAAGCGACTTCTTGACTCTGGCAGAAACAGGGCATGTGGCTTGTGCCCAGTAATCTCTCTCAGTGCCCAGGACTCACCATAACCAGTGGATATTTCAGCTCCCAGTTTTGTGATGTTACTAAACAGCCTGTAACAAGGGCCATGGGCCTCAGCCAGCTGTTCAGGAGCCCACGTGTGGAGGGCCCTCTTAAACCCAGGAGGGGAGCCCTAAGAAGCAGATATTCTGGCCTCCTCCACTAGTCCCAAACTCCACTAATCTGGATTTCCTTTTATATTAACTTATATTTCCGACCTCTATCTGTGTTTACATCCAGAGTTAAAAAAGCTGAAGCTCAATTTGGACCTAAGGCTGACAAAGAACACGAGTCAAGAATGCCCTACTGCCTCTACTTCCTCATCAGTAAAGGGAGAGAGAGCTGGATCAGGTTTTCTCCAATTGTCCCCTTTATTGTGTCAGGCAGGCAGGTGTGCAGGTGTACGCTTATATTACCAGTGCTGCCAACGCAGCTGCCCAAGTGACTCTGAGTGTGAAAGGGACAGTCGGGCTCTATCTAAGCTCCCTCCTCTCGAGCTGGTACGGCCAGTGCAGCACGTACAGTGTTGGCAACAAGCAAGCAAGCAAGCTGATCTTCAGGCAGATCTATCCCTGCTACCTCCCAAATTATTAGTCGAGAACAATCTAATGATTCTTCTAGTCATTACAGCTTGAAGATATCTGCTTTGTTTTCTTTTGAATGATTTTTAAAGGACCCAGAAGCCCAGCAGAAATAATTAGAACAGAATCATTCTCACTAATTAGAGGTCCCATTGGTTATTTGAGAATTTGCAGATTTATTCCAACCTAGAATGCAGATATCAAATAATAGCCTTTAATTTTTTTTTAAAAAATATGCTTATACCATATTCTCTTTTCCCTAAGTCTACCTTTCACCTAGGACAATTCATAAGAGATTTAAGAATATGCAATGATAGCAAGGTACTTGATCTAGCCACATTTAAAACTACAACACAATTCTGATTTCCTAAGAGGAAGGCGGCAGGGGAACAAAGGGAAAAGGAGGAAGAAGGCATCACATAAGGCACCATAAGGTGGAAAAGATTCCAAAACAACATTGTGAGTGTGATTTGCACACCTTTCCCCCCAAATCCTCTACCCCTACACAACTACTCACCCGCCTTTCTTAGGCATCTCGTGGATTTCTCTTCCTCGCCAGTGCGCTCTGCTTCCAGTGGCCAAGACCCATCCCCACCACAAAAGGAACACTCCAGCTTTCATATTCTGGACAGTCCGCATGGGTTTCCACATGCAAACAGTGCTCTCAAGAAACATCAAAAAGGAAAAGGCTGTCTTTTTCTCTCAAGACATTATCAGTCTGTTCATTACTAAAAGGATGTTTACTCATGAGGAAAAAAAAAAAAACAACCCACAGTATGTAATCTGGACAGCAGGGAAAAGCAATTTCCATTAAACCTATAAATCCTCCTACGTCAGATGTCAGGGATTTTCTGAACTGAAGTTGAAGTCCTGTGTCCCTGTCGAACAATTTTGACTGGTCTAAATCAGTACCTCATCAGATGTGATAAATATGTTAGGAAAATTCTGTACTTTCTGGTCTAATAAATCGAAGCAAGAAGCAAGTAAAAATAGACCAAAGCAATTTCCAAAATGAGAAGTGTCAGAGGTGTTGATCTGCCTCGTATGCCACATTAATGTGCTCCTCTTTGCATCTGCTTTAAGCTTCCAGCCATTATTACTGCTTAAGCTGAGGGCTGGATTTGGACAGCTCCCCGCCCCTACTCTTTCCTGAGGCTAAACCTGTGGAACCTCAGGGTTCCAAACCTGGGCAGGCTGTCTATAAATATCAGGTGTTGGGAGGGCTAAAGAGGAAGAGGCTTTTTTTTCTTTGTTTTGCACAGAAAGAACGACATTTTCTTGTCAGTTGTATTATTCCTATAATGAACTTAATCAAAATTTTTATATTTGAAAAATACCAGTCATAAGTTAATAATAGCCATTAGGTCTGTGCTGTCTATTGTTAAAAGCAGCACAACAGGGCCAACATGGAGTTCCTGGCACAAAGGCCCACGTCACCAAACTAAGACCTAATTGGTTCTGGCTCTCTCCCAGAAATGGAATCTTAAACTGGACGATCTGGAGTCACCCCATCCCTAACCAGGTGATCTGACAGTCCCCTGTGGGGGGGAGGGGAAAATTTCCTTCTTCCCTTATAGGTTCTTTGTGGTTTAATAGTTAAATTGACATTAGACATATTAACAGGAGAAAAACAAATTTAGTTTCATATATACAGGAATCCCATAAAAAGAGGAGACTCAAAGAAATTACCAAACTAGGAAGCTTTCATACCTTTTAGGCATCCCACCACCACCAAAAAAAAAACTGTGAAGAACTGACAAGATGAACAGATGTGAGCTTGAGGTAGTCAGTTAAGAAGTGACCAGTTTGTTTGTGCAGCATTCCTGGCCCTAAACTCGCTATCGCCAGGGGTAAAGGTGCCTCTCCCCTCCTAGTTCACCAGGGACCTTTATTTCCTGCTTTCAGGGGCACAAAGGAAGGTCAAAGCGTCCTTGTACCAGCCGTTCCTCAGATGACTTTGATTCAGAATAGTCAACATGCCAGTGGCACATTTGGGCGTGACATATTCTGCTCCCCTTCAGTTGGGAGAATCATTTATGCAATTAGGGCCTTGCCTGGAATGTCATTGTTGAAATGATGTTCATTTAACTAGGTGTAAAAAGCCTAGAGAACAAAGGTTAGGTGTACTTATGGAGTAGTAGAAATCAATAAATACATGAGATGCCTATGTCTATATATTTTTTTGCATGTGAATGTCCAACTGTTTCAGCATCATTGCTCAAAAAGACCATCCTGTCTTCATTGGCTGGCCTTTGTTCTTTTGTCAAAAATTGGCTATATTTATGTGAGACTATTTCTTAGCTCTCAATTCTGTTTTACTGACCCTTTACCTACCCTTTCAATAATACCACACTGTCTTGATTGCCAGTCTTATAGCCAGCCTTCCCAATTTGTTCCCCTTCAATATTGTGGTGACTATTCTGGGTCTTTTGCCCCGCCACATAAAATTCAGAATCAGTTTGTCAATATCCATAAAATAACTTGCTTGGATTTTGATTGGGATTGCATGGAATCTATAGATCAAGTTGAGAAGAACTAGCATTTTAACAATATTGAGTCTTTCTCTCCATGAACATGAATTCCCTCTCCATTTATTGTGTCTTCTTGATTTCTTTCACTACATAACCAAATTAATAAATGCTACCAGTAAGACTTTGTTTGGAATTATTTCTGGAATGTCAGGAGTTTAAATCATACCATAGAATTTTCTTATGTTTAATATTCTCTTATATGATGGTTAAGGAGACAAACTAGTTTTTTAAGCACTGTTCAATGAATGAGTCCACTTCTCCAACTGCATGCTACCACCTTCATCCAGGTCCCCTGGAACTCCCCTGGACCATTGCAGTATCTTCCTAACCTGTCCCATGTCTGCCCTTGTCTTCCTGCCAGTTAACAACTTACTGCCTCTCAGCTCCAAGTTCACCTTTCTTTGCCCTGCTTTGTGACACTAGAGCAGACTCTGCAAACCACATTTCTCCTTTGCAACCAACATGACGCTAGGCTCTACCAAAATAGGGTTCTGGGCAGTCTGAAAGGTTAGAGGAGCAAGAAGACAATTTTCTTCTTGTTTTTTGTTTTGTTTTGTTTTTTAAGGTGTTAGCAAGGGGTGTGGTGTGCAGCTGTCCCTTGCAATGTCCCCTAAGCATGAGGTTGTCATGGTTCCAGGGAGCAGCCCCCAGCAAGTTTCTTCTTCCTCCCCATAGTAGGCAGCTGGTGCCTGCAGTGGCAGCACCTCCTCATCAGAGTCTGAATCTCAGGCCTTGCAGGACCTCTTCTGTGTTTCTAAGTTTTTTCCTTGCTTACCTTTCCCTCAGCCTGGAGGCTGATCTCTGCTACTTGTGTATTTAACTTAGAGTCTTCTAGCCTTTTTGACAGTTAACCACCTTGTAACTAGTAAAAAACCCCTCACATTAAATATTCACTGTTCATATTGTTGGTGTGGTTTCTGCCTCTCAACTGGACCCTGATACACTCCCTATGTTATTGTCCAGAGAGCAGCCAGAGCAATTTACTTTGTTTTCATTTAATATTCATTGATTTTAAGAGAGAGGACGGGAGAGAGAGTGAGAGAAACATCAATATCAGAGAACCTTCGATTAGCTGCCTCCTGTACATGCCCCAATCAGGGGTTGAACATGCAACCTAGGTATGTGCCCTAACCAAGGATTGAACCTACAATGTTGTGTGTGTGTGCATGTGTGTGTGCACAGCAATGCTCCAACCAACCAAGCCATCTGACCAGGACAGATTTTACTTTTAAAATTTGGATCCTACTGATTGTCAGTGGATATGAAAAAGCAGAATAAAATACAGATTTTTGGCTGTAAGGTGAATAGACATACCATTCCTACTAATACAGTTCTGGAGCTCCCCAGTGAATCTGAATGAAACTAAGGTCTCTTTCCTGGCCTTGAGATCCCTGCCTAGCTCTTCTACTTGATCTGGTTTCCTTCTCCCATCCCATTATGCTCTAGACACTGCATTAGATGTGATGGTTTCCTGCCATGATGGTGAGTTTTATGTGTCATCTTGGCAAGGCCATTGTACCCAATTACTTCATCAAACACTAATTTAGGTCATGCTGGGAAGGTATTTTGTAGATGTGGTTCACTTCTACAATCCGCTGACTTTATGTAAAGGACATTACCTTTAATAATATGGGTGGACCTCATCCAATCAATTGAAAGGATTTAAGAGCAAATAGGTTTCCTAGAAGAAAAAATTCTGCCTTAAGCCCTGGCTGGTGTAGCTCAGTGGATTGAGTGTGGGCTGTGAACCAAAGGGTCGCTGGTTCGATTCCTAGTCAGAGCACATGCCTGGGTTACAGGCCAGGTCTCTAGTAGGGGGCACACAAGAGACAACCACACACTGATATTTCTCTCATTCCATTTCTCTTTCCCTTCCCTTCTCTCTAAAAACAAATAAATAAAATCTTCAAAAAAAATTCTGCCTTAAGACTACAGCATCAGCTCCCATCTGAGCTCCATCCCAGCAGGCCTGTAGACTTCAGACTTGCTGGCTCCCACAATCATGTAAGCCAATTCCCTGAAATAAAGTAGAAGACAGATTAATAGATGATAGATAGATATCATATCCCATGGGTTCTCTTCTGCAAGAACCCTGGCTGATTCCCATGAGCACCCCAAACTCTGCCTAGGAGCCTGCCTGAAGCTTTGCTCCCTACTTTCCAAAGCTGGCTTCTCTCATTTTTGAAGTTTCAATTAAACATTGCCTTTTCCAAGAAGCCTCCTTGACTATCCTATTTAAGCAGGTTTTACATCTGTTCTTTTCCTTTAAAGCATTTCTAACGATTAATATTTGTTTGTTATTGGTCTCCCCAACTACGATTTTAGTCATCAACGAGTCCTATCTGTTTTGCTCATCACTTAGAACCTTAGCCGACTCACAGTAGGTGCTCAATAAAAAATATTTAGTGAATGAATAAATGAATCTATTAAATGCCCTATGCTTTTATTTCCTAAGGAAAAAATATAAATACATTAATATTTTGGAATGAAATATAAGAAACAATTTCATATTCTCATGTATTAATACATTTTGGGAAAAATTTAACAATGTTTAAAATTAAAAAAAATTTTTTTAAAGCATTAATGTTTTTAACATGATACCATAATTGCCCCAATTTTCTCACTTTGAAAGTTCATTCACGTCCCAACCATACTGTGTAGCTCATCTCCTCCACAAACTAACCTCTCCTGACCACAGTAGCTCATAGCTCATCCTAAGTAGCCTTTCTCCATTGTACTGAGAGTGCTAATTCTGTACCACATAACTTTCACATTTAATTATCTGCTGCTAACATGGTTGGCTACTTGTTTCACATATACTGTACTAGTCTTTCTCTAAGAACAAAATGTCATCACTGCATCTTATTCATTTTTTATAGTAACAGCACTCAGCACAAGACTTGTACACTGTTGAAATGTTAAACTCCTTTTTAATTCCCTATAGCTCATAATTATGGTCAAACCATAATTATGGTCAAATGAATGCTTAGACCAATTACCTGGTGATTCTCTGAACAGTCCATTAAATACTTGGCCAAAATCCTCAGGAAGTTGGGCACCTTGGTCTCCTCCTTCCTGTGAGGCAATCCTTACATCCGCTTTGCAAGCTCTTTCCACCAAGAGCCACATGTGGTTTTTGCCCTGGCCAGGTGGTTCAGTTGGTTGGAGCTTTGTCCCAGCTCCAAAAGGATGAATGTTCGTCCTAATGAATCTTTGATCCCCAGCTGAGGTATACATGGGGGAAACCAATCCATGTTTCTCTCTCCCTCTTTCTTTCTC